AACCAGAAACTGTTACCAACCTCCCTGGAGGACACTGGCTATCCCAGTTCACGCATGACGTAATCGCAATCCACCTTTCCCACTCCCTGAGGAGACAGGGACTCAATTGAATGTAGTCTGGGTCAGGATTCCATTTCCAAGTGTTTTAGCCCGCAAGGGCACTAACAGTGGTGTAGACACCTGGGTACTAGCCCTTTCCCAGTGCCTGCTGTACTAAATAATACTCAATAATTTTAAAATAGTTTTGTCATTACTAATAAAAGGAGAAAAAAGATAAACTTTTCTTGATTTAACCTGATTTCTGATTTTTTATCTGACACTTCACCAGAATGATCCCTTAAGATAACTGCCTATTGCTCCTTCAGTCTGTAACTGATATATAGGAAATGCAAAGTAACTTTTTCTTAATTAAAAACAAAAAAAATTATGTCACTGGGAAATCAAAAGCATTGTCACAGCTACCAGTGAGAAACCTATTAACTAAATGTAAGTCACACAGATCTATGACACTGGATTCTGGAATTGCTTCCCCCCGAGACCTTTTGTCTCTCATCATTCCGCTTCCTCCACAGCAGCTCCCAGTGCAGATCCTCAACAGAATGAAATATGCCCACCGTAAGAAGCCATCCCTGTACGTCCAGGTGCAAGCTCCCATCACCTGTCTTGGACCAGAACAAATGGTCAGTCTTGCACATTCAGTCAGATGATCCCACCCATCTGGTTGAAACAGTAAATTACAAAAGAGTAAAATAGAGATAAGTTATCAGGTTTTGATTCATCTGGCAACACAGCTTTACAACTGCTATTGCTGGCACAGGTGAGGAAAGGAAGGACAGATCTATCTCTTTCATTGACATAAACCACCTGGGTAGCAAGCCCATGGCATGAACCGATACAGAGGCCTTTTCTAAAGCTCAGAGAATATTCTACCTCTCCCCATGAGTCAGTCTCCCTGACAGCACATGTGAACATCCATTGAGATTTTGCAGAAACGGAAGCACAGCAATCCTTTCTAATTCCTGGTCTTGTATTCTTTAGCTGAGGAATTCTACATTAGTTTCTACCTCCTGTATCTAGTAATAATGACTACAAAATACAGTATTATTTCACAAAAAGAAAAGATCACATGTAATGTATTCCTGAGAGAAACTAGAGTGAAATAAAGAATAATATTAACAACTATTAAAAAAGAATTTGATAATTTTTACTAATTTTCAGGTATTTGGAAACAGTAAACTGAAATGATGACCGATGCGATTAAACAAAACATATCTTATTTTAGGCAGATAGATATTTAAAACCAGACTCCTCCTGCTGGGCTTTCCATTGAAAGGCCAAAGGTGTTCACAAATTACAAAGCACAGTTCATACATTACTTTTAAACAAATCTTTTACTACCATAGCAAATAAGCAACAGAATATTACAAAAACTATGTTGGAGGTGATTTTCCTTCAAAGCCTTATGCAATCCTATGTCTCTGAATGTCAGAAAACTGGATAAGGTTAAAGCCTTTGAAGCCTATCAATATGTGAATATAAAACACAGTACCCAGAGATCATGCTTTACTTGCACTGCCACTACATAAAACAGATTCATTCAGACACGGAAGACATGCACTGAAGATCAGTGAGGTACAATCATCGACAAAACCTTACCAAAAAATAACACACTGAGCTGTACTCACTACTAAAGCAGACAAATGGTGAACACTAATACAGAAATATCAAGGAAAAGTCTCTTTTGAGAAATACATTTCAGGAGATGCCTAAGATAAGTGCAGTATAAAACAGTTTCCCCAGACTTTCACCTCTCTGCCTTTATGGCAATTTCTCCTCTTGTGTCCCCCTCTTTCAGTGAGAAAACTTACTGGAGAGGCTCTGGCTCACATCCTTAATGTTTAATCATTTGAGCTACTGAACACTCATTATTGAAATTAGTGCAAATTAAGCATGTGTTAATGGCATCAATTCAGGATAGCATCACTCTTTATGACAGTACATAAGCACACGCTTTTCTGAATTCTGGTCTAATTACAGTACTGATTAGGAATAGGTTTAAAGCATGTGCTCAAGCAGTAATGGTCAGAGTAATATGCTCCAAATATCTGTGATCCCAGTTATCAGTAAATGAAATTTTATTCAGGTAGGTTTGAAAAATGTTTGCAGCATCTAAGTCCAAGCAACTACAGCCTCTGTTTCTTGCCATTTTTTGAGTATCACTTAGATTTCTTGGAATCAAGTGTTTACATGCAGATTAGAAAGAAAACACATAGGACTAAAATAAGACATTTATTACATGCCATGTTACAGGTCACTGCATTCTCATTTCTATTTGTGCTCACAGTACTGTGGGAAACTGAAATTATTTCATCAAAAACAATGGAAGTACACAGAAAAGTTTGTCAACAGACAGAAACAAGTGTGCCCATAAGCCAAACAGCCATAACATTCAATAGCTTTAATACTCCATTACATTGTTTCATAGAAATTAGAGATGAAAGACTTCTTGTCCATCCCTTGCCAATTCAGGATGTTTTCTGTTCTCCAATTCAGTCACTAGAGGCTGATTGGCAACTGACAACCACATGAATAGAAAAAGCTAACTAGATGTGCCAGAAGAGAGCAGGCTGTGAAATTTGTATTTCCTCTTGTGAAATGCCAAGTTCTTTCAAGTTCCTTTTGTTTAAAGGTGAATTAATGAAACTGCGGAGCTCACAAAATCTGGGACTTCTATTGTAGACTGCTTTTCAAGTACACATCCAACATACTGCTGCCCAAGCCACCTTCATCCCTTCTACAGAGGAATGTGTTTAGTGTGCTGTCAGAAAGCATCAAACTGCACTATGAAATTAAACCTGACACATTTCCATTGAACTGAACATTTTCTGAAAATGAGACTCTAAAGAAACAATAAACTACAGCAGGTCAGTGTTGTTAATGATGCCGCACTTCTGTGCTCAGTCTAACAGTCAGAAGAACTTGGTGCTCAGAAAGGTCATACAACAAATAATGTCAGCCAACCTCGACAGGAGGCTTTCAGATTCCATCAACTGCTTTCATATTTCATCAGCTAAATACTAAAATAAAGTTTGCATTAAAATGGGATCTTCTCTGTCACACTTACTTCCATAATCGCTGTACATAGTCCTTGCATTCTCTATTAAACTTTGGGGCTGAACACTGCAGCAACGTTTCATCTGAAATGTGTATTGCATATCATATCTTATTATGTCTGGTACCAACCAGAATATAAAAATACATTAATCTTGTCTGGAAAATTCAGAGGAGGGAACATATTCAACAGAAATATTGGGGGGAGGGGACCCTTCACGTATCATTTTCTATTATTAGCCATTAATCATCTCTTTATCTCCAGTACCGAACATCCTTACCTACAGCCAAATGCTAATCCCATTAATCCTCTTTAAAGATCTGTAAGGTCTTCTGTGTAATTCTGACTTTTAGTTAATGCATATCTTAATTTTACAGTGATTTTTGCAAGCTCACTCGAGACCAGTTTCTTTTTGAGAAAGGAGAAAAGACTGCACATTTCCTTAATGAAGACAAAGGATTTAAATATAGAAATGAGATACTAAATGCTGCCAGCCAGCAGTAGTCAACACACAGAAGGCAGTCCAGAAAGACTTACACCGAAGAACCGCTACCGAAGTGAACAGAAGCACTGACCACAGAAAGGATGGAGAACCGGTCCTAGGATGTTGCGGGGGAAACATCCCATCTCAGAGAAGGATCTGCAACACATAAGGATTATTTTAACTGCCCCCTGCCCCCCACCCATAACAGGGCTTTTCCATTAGAAACAAACAACATCAAAAGAGGTAATTACACAGCAATCCAGAACACAGGGTCAGTAAATTCATACCATCTGGCTTTGGCTCAGTGAGTAGCATATGCAGTAACGAGCTAAATCGACGAAATCCTACTGTATGCAAACTGGAACAGGTCACACACTACACTCCTGGGGCTGGAGATTTAACACAGTGGCTTTGAATACAATGATTATAGCACTGTTACAGGTTTTCCAAACTGATGATACAAATTCTACCAAATGCAGAGTTATGACTTTTTTCTCTGGCTCCAAGTATGAAACAGGCAAAGGAGAGGGGAATGGGGAGCATGTGAAAAGCATTATGCTTAATGGCCAGAATCTCAGGCAACATCAGTCTGGTTTCTATGACATGAGCAAGCACTGGAGGGTAGGTAGGCATTTTTGAAAGTTGTAGCCCTCTTGGAGAACTTTCAGGAACTCACAACAGTGAAGTAACAGCAGATGGAGCACAGACATAAATATAACCTAAGGTTGAAAGCCAAAAGCCTACATCAATGGTCAGGATAAGACAAGCTCAGAATTACCCTTGCATTTTTTGTAATATATCCATTTCTTGCTGCTCTAATCTCTGCATTCTGTATAAATCTGAATGTGATTAATTATGACTTAATCACTCTTTTTAACATACTGCAGAGAACAAGTGGCTGGTTGAAAAATAGAAATGTTCTATTCCAACTTTTTTAAATCAAGGATTAATGAAATCATCACCTTATAGATGAAATGGGCGACAATAACTAATCCCATTTTATTAAGGCTTTCTTTGTAAAAATGTAAAAGATGCTACAAAACTCATCGGCATTATCATCTAGGATTAAAATGGAAAGGTTATGTAGAACTGTCCAGTTGAATAACACAGCCTCTTGACTCTGCATTTTGTTAGAGCTGGACAAAAATTAGGTGTGTGTTCAGGCAAGTTAAATCTTACTGGTATTTATTTTCAAATTTTCTCTTCAAAATACCAGTATCAGTTCTATAGTTGATCACAAGAGGGAGACTGCATCACCATATTTCCTCTCATTGTTTCAAATTTTTAAAGCATCCAAACAATTTGAGTCATTTTGGACCCAGTCTAATCTTTGACTACTCACTGAAAATTTTTAATGATGGTTCAATTAGAAATTTTTTTCTGAGTTTGTCAAACCTCTGAAATTTATAGATAAAGATAGCCAATCCAGTAAACAAGATTGAACAATGCAAAGGCAGTTGGAAAGAATATTCGAGAATAGGAGTCAATTTTTGCAATACGGATGTGTATCCTTCCTTCTCTCCAAGATCCTGTGCGGCAGTCTTCAAAACAACAAAAGAAGCTAGCACAGTCTTTCCCTTCTAGGCACTCATATCCATAATCATCATCACGTTCAGGGAGATGATTAATGTTATTAATTGGAATTAGTGTTGATCCAGGTCGAACAGCAAGTGCAGGTGGTTTCTTAAGAAAAACAAAAAAGAAAAATATTTTTGTGAGGTTTTTATCTTCACATCATACAGTTCTATCATCTTTCTATAGCATAGGCCAACATAACCAGATTCAGTATAATATACAGAAATTCTAATATTAAAGAAAACATTTTGGGGAGCTTTGCAAATTATGAACTGCTGTATATAATTAGCTCATGCAGGCAAAAGATCATGAATGATTTTCACCTGCCACAATGAAAACTGGGTTGTGCTGGGATTTGGGAATAGTGGATAATTAGTTACACAGACAGGGTTAGCTGATCCCATCTACACAACACAAATGAACATTTTGAAGTCAGTCACAGCTTGACAACTGGGTCACAAGCAAGTCCACAAGCAGGCTGTAAGCATCACTACCAAGGGAATGACGGTTCTCCCACCATTTGGACTCTTTAAAACAAGACTGGCTGTCTAATGGGATTAGTACAGCATCACTGCTGAAGTTTAAGAGACATATAAGGCCAGGCTACGTCATCTAACCCTCTGTTAAATCCCTACACAGTATGCCCTGCCTTTAGAAAGCAAGCCATAATACTCCTTAGGAGAATGCCATTCAAGCCAGTAAAACTGATTAATACAGCTCTTAATCCTTACTTTTACTTTCTGTGGGCATAACTCAAACCCTGCTACAATCTGGTAAAAACTCAGTATAACAGATTTTTAGATTCATAAAAAATTTTCATAGAAAAAATTTGGAAGCCTTATTACCCAATACATACGATTGATATTCCCTTTTTTGCAACTTTTGCCTTTTCACCTTCCTTTTACTTGCACTACCACAGCCCATCTTTCACCCTTCTATTATTTTGTTTCCACACAGTTCTTCACTCTTCATCCTTGCTTCTCTGAGTATTTCAAAAGCCATTCACTTTCTCTACCTGTCCTCTTCTCTTTTTCTAAATCTCATGGCCATTTTAAACTACTCCATAATCCTCTTCATTTGACCCTCACCACCTCCAGCATCTCTTCTAAAATCTTCACACTGAAGACAGGGGTTACATCTACACTACTCTTACACTGTTTTCTCTCTTTTCTACCAGCTCCATATTGTGTCATGCAAGGAATAAATACAGCAGGAAAGGCTGCAGTCAGAAGAACTAACTGGGTATTGAAGTGTAGAGGAGAATCTCCTGTAAACAATTATACATGATAGGCAATAACAAAATAAGAAAAAAATACGAAAAGCAGGAAGCCACATCATTTAGATTCTTGTAATATTTTAAAGTCCTGTTGTCCCACTTCCAGGGAATTGGTCCGGCTACAAGTAACACAGATCAATCTCTATACATTGTTAAGAAGGCACTCGATTGCTGAAGGTACATTTTTCCCAATGTCCTAATGGGTGATGTTAAAGCAGTGCAGTATCCACCACGTTTTTGAACAGCTTTATTTAATAAGTGTCTTTACCCGAGGAAGTTTCACACAAACTGCTGTTTCAACACTCTTTAGACATGATGACCTATGGAGCTAATTATCATCCTAAAGGACCTCATTATTCTTTTCAGTTATGATAAAATACTGACAAAACTAACAAACAGCACTTACATGCTTCTACCCCAATTTGAGGCATTACACAAAGGACTTATTTTTACAAAACATTTAAAGTAAGTTCAAAATTATTTTGTTGAAGATACACAAGGAAAGTTGCCTATTTCTGATTCACGCTGACTCCAGCTTTACAAGAATTTTCTGACTGTTGGTTCTGCCAATGTAAGATTCAGGGCATGATTCGTTTCTATTAGTGGGGTGAAACAGGACTCCCCACTTCAGAAACACCATGGAGGACCAAAAACTAAGTACTGCTTTTCACTGCTCATGTCACCAGCACGGACTGAAGCTGGCTACCCAATTACAGGTTGGAAGAGGTGGCCTGAAAGATGATGTCATCTAATAGGCCCTGAACACCTACAAGGAATACATAATATGTGTGTAAGAAAGAGCAAACATGAAGGAAAAGGGGAAAAAAGACCAACACCTCACAAGAAAATTACCTTGGCAGAGACTTGGCCAATTAATTACCTTGGCCAAACAAACAAATAAATAAACCCATGTAGATACAGTAGTAAATGCTGGTTGTTCATGTACATGCCTACTGATATTGTAGATAAAACTCCACATAGAGTGAGAAGAAATTGTAATACACTCTGATAGGACCAAAACCAAATTATTCTGCATTAACACTAATACATGTCCAAAAGAAAGCCATCGTCTGTGGAGATCATAGCACAGGTGATGCATTCACTTCAGGTGAAATGATGATCAGAACAAGATCCACAACTAATTAAGTTTAATCTTTCATGCCCAAACTCATTATCCTTACTAATGTGGATTTAGATAAGCCAATTAATACTACCTTTCTGAAATGATGCCAGCACATATTTTGTACGATAAAACCATTGCAATCATTTGTAAAATCTCACCATTTCTTCACAAGATCATTTATTGCACCTTCTTGGCATTAGTTCCTGGAATAATAAGGTTTTATTGCATTTTGCAAGAGAAAAAAGATCTCTGCAAGGCAGTTTTCCAGGGAAAACACACCTGTAAATGAGAACTTTTCAGAAGGAATTAAACTATTTTAATTAAATTGGGTATTTGAGTCACATATCCATAACTAAAGGAGAAAAAGAATTAATAGAAGTCTTTGACAAATATAAAGAAAATTAAAAAAAATACAGATTAGTAATTGTACGACTTTCAATTAATTAATCAAATTGCTTCTTTAATTTTTCTATTTTTAATAGATTTCCTAACTTTTTGTAAAGTCCCCAAAACTCCCTATTTTTCAAATTATAATCCTTGCAACTATGTTTATTAAATTTAATACCTGCCCCTTTAGACCAAACTTTTATCTAGTATGGTCTTATAGCCATAATGTGCTGAAACATGTTTAAAGAATTCTTTGTGAAAAGATGGTGGCTTTTCAACTACTTCACAAAAAAAAGCATGCTTTAAGAACACAACTAAACAGCATTTGGAGTGTTATGTTGCTAATTGTAATCTTAGTCCAAACTCCAGCTGTTTATTTAACGTGTCGTAGTTTCTATCTCACCCCTATTCTACATTTGATTGTCGTATGCACTGTCAACCTCAAAGCATTTGGCAGATTACTGTACAAATGGCTGATGTGTGAACAGATTCTGGAAAGTCTCGTTACTCCATTCAATAGAGTGTACTTGCAAACCACTTCAATGGCTTTTGATCTGCCAGCAGCTATCTTCACTATCTCCTTCATTTGAATGAGCCGAATTTTCTCCCTTTTTCCCTTTTTTCCTGTAGTGCACATTGAGAGCAGACCTATTTCAGCTCCCTGTTCCCTAAGTGTTGTTGAGACCTCATTGCAACAAAACCAAAGCTGCTATACTAACACTTGGAAGTGCCCCAGATTCTGCAGCCTCCGTTATCTTTTACCATCAATGCTCAGCGATGGCCCTTTCCAAAGCCTTTTTCCCACCCCTTCCATTTTGCCCATAATTCCTTCTACCACCAACAGGAAGGAGGTTTGAGGTTTCCATTTTCTAGCGCTGTGGGCTGTGCTGGATTCCCAGAGGATCAGTGATATCAGACCAAGGCAGCACACGGTAGTATTAATCCTTCACCACCAGCCTTGTCCTAAATACACAGCTCATCCACTCGGGCCAGCTCACCATCTGAAACACAAGGGCTCTCACTTCCCTGGTGTTGGGCCACAGCAGCCCCACGATGCCCCCACAAGACCATCTCCCACACCAGCACAGCCCAAAATGGGTGGTCAGTGCTTCCCAACGCTAGCCACAGAATTGATATGGTTCATAATGGGATTTCGGCATTTCCACATCTGGGCTTCTGCAGCTTCATTTTCATTTCTGTTTGATCTTACACAAGCGGTATTCACACTTCATGCAGAAAAGACAACTGATAGGATTCAGCTATGCTCCAGCTTCCTTTGCTGAAATTATCTGGAAGGGGGCTTTACAACGTTGTCCTTCCTCTTATTCTCTCCAAAAGATTACTACAGTGAAGCCTCAGATATTATGTTTGAATGAATAAACTATTTAACACCTTTACCTCAGTGTTGTATTAGTTTAAAGATTAGCTTTAAGGGTTTGTAGTGGCTTCCAACAATAGATTCTTTAGAAGTTCCAGTATTCTTAATACATGAACAGAAAGCCCCTTATAACTGAGCAATACTTGTTCCTGGGATATGTGGGGATTCACACCGTACAAATGTCAACCAAGGGCTTGAGCATGGCATGGAAGCCTGGAATATTGTATTAAACCAACCTCTAGCTTAGGCTCATGTGTTCTCACTCACATATGAGTGGAATGATCTAGTAACTACAGAGAATGAGTACAAGCCCCCAGTTGTAAAAACAAACAAACAAATACACAAATAAATAAATAAATAAATATTTGGGTTCATTATCTTTGAACATCAGTCCTTATGCTTAAGGACTAGTCTCAGAATTAATACTATAATAAAGAGCATGCTGTACTGTTTGTTTGATTTTTTTTTCTTGTTGTTTGAGTAAACTTACTGATGGCTTAGATTTTGCCTTCTTTTCTTTTCCTTTGTCCCCTTTCCTGTTGCTGGTAAAGTAATGCAAGGTGCCATATTCCATCAAGGCAGCAAACACAAAAATGAAGCAAACTGAAACAAAAAGGTCCATTGCTGTCACGTATGAAACCTTTGGAAGAGACTTCCTAGCAATTGTACTCAACGTTGTCATGGTCAGCACCGTTGTAATGCCTGTTTGAGAAAGAAAGAAAGGAAAAAAAGACAGGAATTAGGAATTTTAAGAAAATTTTCAGGAATTTTTAGGAAATTAAGGGCTAATTCAAGGAATTTTTAGGAAAAAGTTTTTAATTCTGTCCTGAGGCATACAGGAACTGAGCCACAGCAGGGTTCACTGACCAGACCTGCAATCTGTGCTACTGCAAGAAGCCATCCCCATAGATCCAGTAGCCATACAGAAGGCAGTACATCTCACCTTCAGTTCAAATCCCTCTCATTTTCAACACACACTGAATAAACAATGACACTGAGAAAGTTTGTGTAACTTTTTAAATCTGTTATAGAATGCACACATAAAACAAATACAAGAGACAATCATGTACAAATAAGCACATATATTTTATAAGCACAGAAAAATTCCTTTGGCTCTTGAAAGATTAAAATGGACACATTCAGAAAAAAAAAAGTGTTATTTATCAATTATTTCAAAAGTTAAGAAAACATGAAAAAGAGGAATAATATTTTCAATTATTTGCTTCTGACATGTAGCAGGTCAAATTAGATGACCTTCCTGGGCTTCATGGTTTCATTCTAAGTTACTAGGTATTTTTTCCAATACTGTGTCTTAAGTAATAGAAAATGTTTCCCTTGATTCACTTACATACAAGTTAATTAAAAGAATGAGCTGGCCTTAATAACTATGTGTTCAGAATCTCAACTATATGACTCTTCACTAATTTAACATTTAGAAGGTGTTGACAATTTCTTCTTCTCTTTGATTCTTCAGGGAGATGCAAAGCCTTTTTCATAGTAGTCCAAAATTGAGATGTGACCTTTCTTTTCAAGAGCAATACTTGAACACACAAACAATTTGTTATTTACATGCACAGGCTTATTGCAAAAAAATGTGTTAAAGAGTCTAAGGTTATATATGGCTTATGTTTCAACATATACAGAAGAAAAAGGCCCAAGACCAGACCCCAGCACAGCCTCCAGGTGGGAGGCGAGACCCTTCATTCCCCGTAGTGACTTCTATTCAGAGGGGATAAAGGAAGATGTGGGCTTTCCCAGTCCTCTCCACTGTATGAAAGGCACACAGAAGGCTGTCACAGGGAGCCAACCTTCCACAGCATCACGACTGCTTGCCACGACAGACCTTGCTTTGTTTTGGCTGTCTTGTCTTAATTTCTCACTCTTTTTCTATAAAACTGTGTCTATTTGACTGGTATTCTCTTTCGTCTTCACCAGAACATCTGCATGTGAAAAAAGTCATCCTACAACCTGTCAAAAGATGGCTTCTGTATGTTCACACAAAAGGAGTTCAGAGTTAACTGCAGGGAGTAGTAAATATGACATTCAGAAGTTTGTAGTACATCTCAAGCAGATGAACGTTAGTACTGCTGAAGTGGGAGCACAAAAACTCTAGCCTGTCCATGAGATCAAAGGTAAATTTGCTAGATTTGTAGCACAGAAAAAGGACTCCATGAAAAGAACAAGCAGGATAGCAGTATGACAGTCTTTTCCTATTATAGCTAGTGCCTTTCCAGACAGTACCCCAAATGATGTCCAATGACTATCAGTCAAAGAAATCTTATAATAAATTTCTAAATCCAGATTTGAAACTATCAAGAGATAGTTTCACTTATTTCTTCAAGATTTTAGCCTCTCCTTACTAAACCGCAGTAATTTTTAATAGCAGAAAGTTAAGATCCAAGACTGACTTTCTTCCCTTACCTTTCCATTAGGCTACTGAGCCATGCTTGTTTTTACTTACTTACTTTCTTGACTCATTAATCGTGCAGGCTTGATCGTACAGTGGTAGAGTTTCAGTAGAAAAAACAGGAACTTAAAGGCTGGACTTGCCCTTCTGGAAGTAAATGCTCCTAGAACTTGAGAATGGCGCGTTCACAATCCTATAAACTGATGAGGAAAATTAACTCACATCTCTCACTTCCTAGGATACACACTCCACACTTGACCTTTCCCCTAAAACAGGTCATACTGCTCTCACCAGTTTTAATAAAAGCATCTGTCACTGCTAAGCTCGAAGTTGCTAGCGTGCATCCTCTGCACTCCACACACTCCTGTCTATCCTGCCTTATGTATGGACTACAGCACTTCTCCAAGGAAGTACATGGACCCTAAACAGTCAGAAAGAGGAGACTGACACCGCTCTAAACAGGTCAGCCAAGATGACACGAAGACACAATTATCTCTGTAGCAGAACTTGCAATGCACTTCAGTACTGTCTGTCAGACAGTCAGGTTTTGTGAGTTATATGCTAAACTGCTTGAAGTGCAACTTTGGTTGCAAATTTTTTGTCCTACCCTGTTAAAATAACAACTGAATGATTTTTATTATTAAAACCAACAACAGCAACAACAAACCAACAGGAAAAAAAAAAAAGAACTAAAAACCCAAACGGATCTTCATGTTTTCCGTCTGTGTAGTAATGACATCTTTGTCGCATGATGCCAAGTTTAAGCATACTTGTCAGACTAATGACTGCCACATTGCCATCCCTGGAGACGTCAAAAAGAACATAGATGTGAACAATAGATCCACAAGGCACAGATCAGGATTTCCAGATTTCCATTCTCGATGCTCCCTCTTTAAACCCTGCTGTGCAACCACAGCGGGATCCTCCTACACTTAATCCTGCAGTTCAAGAGAAAGGGTGACCAATGGTCACAATCTGAAAGGGAATAAACTGTGGTTAATTTACTTCCTGCTGCAGATCTGTATTTCTGGGAGGTACCAGACCCTTCAAGGTTGTAAAAAGACATTCTTACCCAGAGAAGTCCTTGCGGGAACTGCATCCTTATTGATCCAAAATGACACCCATGAAAGAACAACTGTGAGTATACAAGGAATGTATGTCTGAATAGTAAAATATCCCATACGTCTGCTGAGATCAAAGAAGATTGTCATAATAATATAATCGCCTATAAATTAGAAAAAAAAAAAAAAGCCACATCTTACACAACAGTGAAAATGCTTTTCAGTTGTATCTTCATCTGTCAGTCTTGTTCTACACAGATACTACATGAAATAAAACTTAACAACGTGCCTTACCGGACAAGGTATGAGAAATTTCAGTTGTATTTCGTAACCCTACAAATGCAAACTGATATAATCTCCAGTATTTTGGATCTGCCACTTCAACAGAGGTTTTCTTCCATTTGTACTCAATTTCATTTCTGGGATATCCATCTAGAATAAAACAGAGCAAATCAAGCATTCAGCCACAGTATATAGCAAAGCATGTTTTGTGATCCCTGAGGATGTTTATAAACTAAACCAGGGCTACCCATGAAGTAGATCAGAGAGAAAGACAATCTGTAGTCCACCTGATACACTTAAAATTTAACCACAAAATATCTAGCCTCGATTTTAAGCTTAGCTAAAAGTACAATTGATCAAAAACTATGTAAATACAAACATTTAGGAAATATCTACACAATATTCTGGAACTCATTAAAAAAAAAGAAACAAGCAAACCTGGCTGAGAAAAATCACTATGAATTAATATACAAATGTAATATACATTATCATTAAAAGACCACAAAGAGCTTAAAAGAACAAACACGTATTAGTACATAATTTGATAAAATTCCTATAGACATTTATTAAAAATGTCTATTATTCCCAGAATGGATTTTTGCAGCCTGATTCACTCTCCAGTACTTCACCTTTAAGCAAGTGCAAGATTCTGTATTTTCATGTGCCTCACATGTTGCCCCACATTATCTGGCAGAAATTAAATTAAGCAATACTCACTTGTGTAACACAACTATTTAATCAATGGCGTTACCAAAGCTCATTTAGCTGGAAGCACTCAAGACGGAAGTACTAAATGAATACATTAATTTTAAAAGAATCACTGAAGTTTGATTTCATTGCCTATTAGGTTTTAAACTTTGGAATAAGTTGTCTAGTTGTGTTCAGATGGTTTGGGTTTCTTTTGCCAGTAATAGCATAATTCCCATAGGAACTTTTTTTTTTTTTATAGTAAGTTTAGATTAAAGAAGTGAAAGTTGTGTTTCCTGCTCACATAAATAAGTCCCTCTGAAAGGAGAAGGACTTCTTATACTGATTAAGCATTTACAGGAACAGGTTGAAAAAGACAGACCTTATTTTTCCTTTTAAGTATTCCACATGGAATTAATTCAAAGCTGGCAAGTCTGGCAGGCACAGAAAATACAGTTCTTCTAGGGCAATAGACTTCCATTAACTGGAATGGGCATTGTATCAGACTTCTAAGCAATATGATTATTTTTAAAGTTGCAACTAAATGAAATGCATGTAATTCAACTCATTCATTACTGCATTTTATAATGCATTAAAAATGAAACAAATCTAATCAAAACATAAATAAGTCAGCTCTTTCCTTCACTACAAGGCTTTGAAAACTAAACGCTCTCTGGCTGCCAGATTTTAAGGAAATTTAAAGCTTGAACGTAAAGGGAAAAAAAAAAAGTGTTTTACCACCTACAGCTTGAAAACTCCAGCGGACAGGAATGTTCATCCATAGGAAAGTTATGAAGCTGAAGATAACATTCAGCATTAATTGTCAGCCTAATTAGAAAAGGAAGGGGGAAAAAAATAAAAGAGAAAAACAGATTATATTCAAGCATCCAGACTCTTTAGTGTAGATAGTAAAGAACATGCACAGAAATTAATTTTGTCAATTAATAGATGTTACACATAGACAACTGTGTATCTGCAAAAAACATCCAGCATCACTGCCAAAGAACAAAAATTCTCATCATACACAACCTGAGGACCTGCCTTGTTCCAGCTGGCATTTTGAGCCATTTCAAAAATTTCTATTGATTTGGGGGAATCTCTCAGCTCTCTTATCAGAAATAGGGAATAAAAAAGAAGGACTGAAGGTAGGACAAGGAGAGGAGTTTATGACAGCAAATAAAGGAAGCTTCTGAAGAACCCATGTGTCAAGTCAAACTGCATTTGACGTCATTGTATGTGATGGCTATATACACAGAAAGTAGGGACACCCTTGGGCTTGCTGCATACTCACGGAATCCAGCAGCTCTGGTGAAGACAGTAACATGGATAGGAAAGAGCAGATTAGATATTTCTAATAATTTAATATCTAAGTCATTCAAGTGATTCAGGCAGATAATTTACATTTCAAAAATAGTTTAAGGCTCACAGGGATATCAGCTGCTTTTGAAAATAATATCACAGCTTTCCAAAGACCTTCCAAGCAACCAGTGCAAAATCCAGTTCTGCTAACTTTCACTAGGAAGCTGGAGTAAGAAGCTAGACTCCAAACTGCCTTATTTGCATTTAAAATATCTCCTCCTTTGTAGTAACACAGTGAAGAAAGTCACAAAGTATTCTAACATCAGTTTTGAAAATTAACATGATGTTTACATACTTGACTCTACACAATACTTGCATACTAGAAAAAAAGGGGATGCAAAAAGGAAGATTCTGCCACGTGCTGCCAGAAAGCCCTACAAGTCTGAACAAAGTAGTCCTTCTGCACAAAGCACCGGTAGAACCTTTCTAGAAATCTGTCCTGACATAAAAAGAGAGGTTTATAGGGGAAAGTGTATTTCTTGCTATATACTGGGGGGGAAAAAAAAAGAGAAAAAACCCCACATTTCCATGTAAAACCCTTGCATCCCTCTGAAGATGTTTCACAATTTGCTAACTATCGCATACATATTTAAAGCCTCTATTTTTCATTTTCAACCTCTGGATAGTCAAACGCTCAAAGAAAAAGAAAACAAACCCAGACTTTTACTCAAAGCAACACAACTGGATCTGGAATCACTGACGGGTGCAATGGACAGACCAAGGACCACCCTCAGGGCACATTCAGCAAGCCTGACTAACAATCACCACGTCTGCTCCCTCAGGTACCAACAGGAAAAGAGCAGTGGTACAGGGGAGGTGGGCAACCTGGAGCACTGTCAGATACTACTATTGTTCCTTCAATCGCCAACATATGAACCCCTCAATGTTCCTCTACCTTAGGCCAAATTCAGGCCATATCCTCACCCATACAGATGTCTGTGTGTTGCAGTGTTGGGTGAATACCTGTTCTGCTGTTTTATTACTAGCTCACTGCACTTCATAGATTATACTCTAGGGCAATAATTCTATTTCTCTTGGAGAACTCACGGTTTTTTGGTTGCATTTGTCTCTTTGTTTTACTTAGGCCTTGTTTAAAAGAATTGAAACTGAATGGACAATGGAAGGGGTAAAGTCCAAGTCTGATTCTAGAGTTGTCAGCTACAAAACAAAACCAAAAAATCAGCATGTTCTTAGAAGAGGCTCTCTAGAGATTTCTATAAACACTAGCATAATAAACTGCTTAAAAAGTGCTCTTCAGAAATGTTTGTATGCTCTCAAATGAAATATATTAAGAAGGAAATCAGTGAAGAGAATCCTTTTAAAACATTATGATTCTTACTTCTGATACAAAAGTCCTTTATAAATTGTTCAGGCAACACAACTAGGCAGCATACGAAAACAGCGTAAATAACTGAAAAGAAAGTAATCAAAATGTGCTACTTTTCCTATAAATAAATAAACTCTTAAGAGCAGAATCAGATTCATGGCATCCTCAACATGGACTGCTTCTCAGTTAGCCCCTAAATTACTGCCAGTTTTTTTAGGTATACTTAAAAACCAAAATGGAGAGATGACCCTAAAATGCTTTCTGCAGACTACAGCCTTTCAAGAACTGTTTCATGAGCAAATCAAAGATCAGCACAGATAGCCTAGATGGCAAGCTTAGAATCAGCCCAAGCATCCCCCATTTGCCAAGAAGAATTATCACCAATGTTATTGCTTGTGCCTAATTTTCATAAACTGATTAATTTGTTAATTTTAACAGCTTCCAAGGGTAAAGATGCTAAGAAGTATATGAAGAACTAGGGCCCTAGCTTTAATCAAACTTCTTACAATTTTTATTATCTAAAGCATTTTATTTTTTACTTACAGAATATAATTTGGTGGAAAATAGATACTGAACCATTTAGAACAGAAAGTCTGCAAAACAATTCATGACTATATCTGCAGTGTTAGTGACAGACCTCCACATCGTGCTACATGCTATGTAGCATCTTTTTTTTAATCTTGCCTGTACCCAATTGAGACTAAAATTTGCTATCCCCTTCAATTGTCTTTATCCAGTTATATAGGCAATATATTTCAATGCTATTAATTTCATGGTTTTAATGAACAAATAATTTTTTTTTTTCTCCTTTAGTAAACCCTTTGCAAATTTCTGTGGTCCTCAACAAAAGAAATGCCAAGGATCTGATTTACACTCATTATTTCATATTCCTGGTAATAACCATTTAAATTTTTTTTTACCCAGTTAGTAAAAACCCACCTTAGAGTATATAATACTCTTCCATCACTCCAGATTCGAAGCAAACGATTTGGGGTTGTAATCCAGTGAGCATCAGATTTCCTTGAGTTCCGGAAGAAAGTGTCTGGAATCCAAATTTTTCCAACCATGTTGCTATTGAGCATAAGCACTTTCATTGAGCTGTTAAATTTTAGACGACTGTCATACCACGTCTGGGCAAAAATTATATCTATGGTGTATTCCTAAAAACAGAAAAACAACCATACCTATGTATACATTTACCAAAGTCTGCAAGCCAAGAATTTTTAGTTCATACATAAATCCAAGGCCGCTTCTTCTATTTTCTTTTGTATTAACCTTTGCATAGCACACAGCAGCCTGTAGCCCCAAACTGAGAAACTACAGACTGATGAAAGACATAAACAGCCTTTTTTCCCTACCTCCTCTCCCCTGAGACACACTGATTATTTAGGGAAGAGGAGACGTGACAGGAGCTTGCTGTAACTTGGAGGTCCCCACACAGTGCAACCACCTCTGGGCACCCTAGGCAGAAACTTAAGGGCAACCTTAATAATTTAGGGCCAGAATATGTTTGTTAAGGCAGAGATTCTACATCTCTTAGGAAGCAAACCGAATAACCTTTCTATATTTTTTCCCAAACTTTACAACATGCAATCTAAGATCCTTCAGGAAATTTCAGATTTTGAAAAATTCATGAAGATGCGGGAAGTAAACATCACAGTTTGCAGAACTATCTCTTACCATCTGCCTCATATATCTACCTACATACACAGAAAGTATACATAATCATAATCAGGAAGGAAATTTCCCTAAAGCAATTCCACTTATTAAAACCACAAGAAAGCTTCTTTTCTGATAGCAAGTCAAGTTTTTCAGTAGACTTATGGGCAGAAAAGTGAAAAATAAAATAAAATAAAATA